AAGGCCCCAAGACGGGCCAAGACGGACCCAGCACAACCCAAGGCGCGCTGCGACGGCTCAAGACGGCTCCAAGACAGCCCCAAGAGGGTGCCAACACGGCCCCTGCTGGGCCCAGGACGGCCCAAGGAGGCGCACAGGAGGGGCCCAAGACGACTCCAAGGCGGCCCCCTCACGGTCCCAGACGGCTCCAAGACAGCCCCACGATAGTGCCAACCAGGACCCTGATGGGCCAATGACGGCCTACGGACGCGCCCATGACGGGCCCACGACGAACCAAGACGGCCCCATCACGGCAAACGGCGCCCTCAAGACGGGCCTAGACGGCTCCAAGACGGCCCTTTGAGGGAGCCAACGCGGCCCCACACCCTTCGGGCGAACACTTGGGGGGGCTGGGAGCTTGCGACAAGTCTCCCACATTCATTGTCCTGCCCCATTCTGTTCGCCTGGAGGCCTCCTCCAACCCTGTGGGCGAACAAGAGGAAACCCAGCGGGCCGCCAACCCTGGGGCCTGTGGGCCCCGCGCCGCTTGGGCAGAAGACGAACGCCGGGTCTGACAGGCCAGCTACCGCCCCCCTTTGCCCGATATGCTGTGCCATTCTGTTCCCCCAGGGGCCTTGGCAAACTCTTCGGGCCAACCAGACCGGACCCCGGACAGCAGCCAATTGATATGACCCAGGGACCTCTCCGCATTCTTCGGACGAGCACCTGGGGGGCCCAGGAGATTCGGACAAGTCTTCCCCATTCCTTGCCCTGTCCCGTTCTGTTCGCCCGAAGGCCTCCACAGACCCTCTGGGCGAACAGAATGGGACATGGCGAACAAACCCTCCCGTTGGCGGTCATGCGACTGGATCGCACCATCAAGGCGTGCCCGGAGGTGATGGCCGACCCAACAGCGGTTTCTCTACATATTTTACATAATTTCAAATTTTCTTGAAGCTCTCTTGGGCCCTCCGTGTAGATCCTTGCGAGCCTCCCCGGCGCTTTCGGTGGCTTTCCCCGATGGCCTCCCGAGCCCTTCCCCGGGCGCTCCTGAGACGCCTCAGATGGGCTTCGATTTCGACGCACATCCCCGAGAGACTTCGAAACTGCCCTCAATAGAGGGGGGGTGAACGAGCAGTGCGCTGGGCCAAGCTGCTGGAGCGTTGCAAGAGCTCGGACACGAAGGCGCGGTCTCGCTGCCGCCGCCCGAGCCGCCGCCGTGTGTGTAGATTTTCGGTACAATCTGCGCCTTTCCTGCGAGAGCCATTCCAGAAAGATGTCGTGGACGGAGTCCACGGGTCAGCCCTAGTCAGCTACAACGCTGGGATCAGCGCGTGCGAGAAGGGTGAGCAGCACGGTGAGCAGTGGCAGCGGGCTTTAGCACTTCCAGGCGAGATGTGAGAGGCGAAGCTGGAGCCCGACGTAATTTGTTACAGCGCTGGGACCAGCGCGTGCGAGAAGGGCGAGCAGTGGCAGCGGGCTCTCACGCTGCTCAGCGAGATGAGGGGGTTGGAGTTGAAGCTCGATGTCATCAGCTACAAGGCTGGGATCAGCGCGTGCGAGAAGGGCGAGCAGTGGCCGCGGGCTTTGGCGCTGCTCACCGAGGTGCGGGAGGCGAAACAGGAGCCCGACGTCATCAGCTACCACTCTGGAATGTGCGCGCGCGATAGGAGTGGGCGTTCCGTGCAGACGTTGTTCTTGCTCAACGAGTTGGCGGGGCACGACGTAGAGCTCAGAGACGCTCATACGAAGTTATATGTTAAGTGCTTTGTTCGTGTAGGGTCGTTGCTGGCCTTGTGTCGCCCTCCCTGGTCTTACAGCAGCAAGTCCACTTCAGCCAGCGCGGAGTATGTTCAGTCTCGGAGTCGGAACTGGGCGTATTGGTTTTGGGCCCCCATTTTCAGGATCCCGCTTCAGGAGTAGGAGCCATCGTGGACGGACGGCATCGTCACGCGGGATGGCCCCCTTCCTCCCTGTCGCCCCCCCCCTCGGCGAGGACCGTCATTAGGCCTCGTCGGTGAGGGCCGTCATTAGGCCTCACACCCTCGCAGCTTCCATCAATGGGGCTGCGGGGCTCCTGCTCCCACCAGTCAACCGTCCATTTTGCCGTCAATGGGCACCGGGGAGGGCCGAGGACCCCCCTGCGGTCCCTCGGACACTGAAGACGGCCGTAGGGGGGGGGGTGACCCGTACTTCCACCTCAAGGCACACTTGTGCCACCATCTTCAATCAGAGGCGTCAACAGCCACCCACCACTCCTATCCTCCTCCTCCTCCTCCTCCTCCTCCTCCTCCTCCTCCTCCTCCACCTCCACTCCCACCTCCACCTCGCACCTCCACCTGCACCTCTACCTCCTCCTCCTCCTCCTCCTCGTCCTCCTCCTCCTCCTCCTCGGGAGGGCCAGATCGCGCTCCAGGACATGTTCTCGATTTGTTTTGGGTATTTTGGGGAGCTTGTTGGAAAAAAGTCTTCTTCAGACATGTCTCTCTCTCTCTCTCTCTCTCATGATTTCCAGAGGGAGGAGTGGGGGGTGGGCGTGGGAATGGGGGGCCGGATGCCGAGGGTGACGGAGGAGGGGGGAAGTCGGGGGGAGCTGGCTGGCACGAGGTGCGCGAGGAGGCCCTGAGATCCGACGTCGCCCAAAAAATGCAACGTCGCGAAAATCGCGACCAGAACCCTGGACCCCACTTTCCTGCGCTGCCTCTCGAGCTGGATCGACCTGTGAGGGCCGCAGGACCGAAACCCAGCGAAAACACCCAGCGTGACAGAAGTTGCAAATCCTAGATTTATGATGTTTCAACCTACTTTAGCCTTGATCATCAAAAATGATTTCGAACACGAAGGAAGTACCGAAACTGGATGGTGTTCACGTGTCGGGCCCTGGGAGGCGATACTCGTTCGACGCTGTTTCGATACGCTTCTCTGCGTGCTCAAAATTATCTCTGGGATGTGGCCCTCAAGTGCGATGGGAGCAACATGACCCCAGATAGGGGGGCAGAGGGGGCGGGAGGCGAGGAGTCGAGGAAGGGAAGGGGTGCGGGCGGGCAGGCCGTGCCAAACCCCGCCGCTTCTCTCCGCTCCCGCCGCGCGCGGAGCTCGCCCCGCCCCGCCCTCGTACCAGAGCGGCCTTCTCCGCCGTTCCCGCTGCGCGGTGTGCGCGGGGCCGGTGCCGCCGCGCACGCCCAGCACCCGCACACCTCGGCAGGATGGCAGAGGAGAGGTCCTGGGGGTCTTGGCGTCGTTCGGGCGTGTGCATGTTTCTCTTGGCCAGGACAATCGAGGAGGATCTTGGACCATCGTGCGAGGAAAAACATACGACATCGACAAGTGCACGTGGAATGAACGTCCGAGCGATGGCGAGGGGAGGGGGCGGTGGAGGAGGAGGGGGAGGAGGAGGAGCAGGAGGAGGAGGAGGAGGAGGAGGAGGAGAAGGAGGAGGAGGACGAGGAGGAAGAGGATGAGGAGAGAGGAGGAAGGAGGACGAGGAAGATGAGAGGAGAGGACGAGGAGGAGGAGGAAGAGGAGAAGAGGGAGGAGGGAGGAGGAGGAGGAGAGGAGTAGGAGTAGGAGAAGGAATGGAGAGGAGGATGAGAGGAAAGGAGGAAAAGGAGGAAGAGGGAGGAGAGGAGGAGGAGGAGGGAGAGGAGAAGAGGAGGAAGAGGAGGAGGAGGAGGAGAAACTCCTCCTGCTGCTCCTCCTCCTTCCTCGCCCCCTCTCCATGAGTGGCGTTTGGCCGCTGCATTCACACTAACCCATTACGAAGACCACCCCCTCTTTCTCCCGAAGATGGTCGGGGAGTCGCCCGTCCCCCTCTGCGCATATGTTTTTGGGGTGTTATTGGGTTGTTGGGGTGCATTATCTGGATCGTTTTCGGGGTCTGCAGATAGTGTTGCCGCTGCAGCGCTGGCCTCATTTTCGGATCGGCGCTTTGCTCCCGTCGTTCAGAATGGCGCTCCTCGCCCCAGCTTTTCCGGATCCGAGTCCTTCCTCATCGTTGTCGCCCCCCTCCTTTCCTTCCGCCTTCCCCTCGTCCTCCTGCTCCTCCCGCTCCTTCTGCTCCAGTTCCCGCTGCTGCTGTTCGTCCTCGTCCTCCTCCTTCCTCCTCCTCCTTTTTCCTCCTCCTTTTTCCTCCTGCTTATCCTCCTGCTCATCTGCCAACTCCTCCTTGCTTTCCCCCTCCGCCTATGTACGCAGCTCCCCTTTGTCGATTGCGCATCGCGCCCTGGGGTCTTTTCACGATTTCCATGTCCGCTATGACACGCGTACGCGGATGTAGATAAACCAGTTTGTTGCATTGCATAAACCATTTTGGCGTTTCGCGCTTTCCAAATCGTCTGTTTGCATTTCCCGTCCTGTGCCATTTCCGGTCTCTCTGACCTTGCTGTCGAAATCAGTTGCGTCATCGACGCGAGGCTATGCCGTGCTGTGCCATACCTCGCGTACTCTCTCAGGATCGACATCCGACTGCGAATAGAGTGGAGATCTACCCAATGATAAGGGATGGACAGGAGGGGTAGGACGCCAGATATGACGCTTGCGCACCTAGCTTGCCTTCTCCCCTCGCCCCTCTCCCTCCTTCCCCTCCTCCTCCCCCTCGTCGTCCTCCTCCTCCTCTTCCTCCGCCTCCTCCTCCTCCTCCTCCTCCTTTGCACTTGTGTGCGTTCACTGCGTAAATCCTCCTCCTCCTCCTCCTCCTCCTCCTCCTCCTCCTCCTTCCTCCGTCCTCCTCCTCCTCCTCCTCCTCCCTCCTCCTCCTCCTCCTCCTCCTCCTCCTCCTCCTCCTCCCTCCCCCTCCTCCTCTTCCTCCTCCTCCTCCTTCTCCTCCCCTCTTCCTCCTCCTCCTCCCTCCTCTCCTTCCTCCGTCCTCCTCCTCCTCCTCCTCCTCCTCCTCCTCCTCCTCGTCCTCCTCCTCCCCCTCCCCTTCTTTCTCCTATCTCTCTCCTGCTCCTCCGCTCTCCCTCGCCTCCTCGTCCTGCTCTCCCGCGGGGGGGAGCCTCCGGGGGTCGCGCCGGCGCCCCCAGAACCTCTTCATCTACTCGGAGGAGGCGGGCTGCCGGACGCAAAGGGGGCGCGCCTCGGGAGGGCCTGGGAACGGGGGGGGGGAAAGGGCGGCGAGGAAAGGGGGCGCGCCTGGGGAGAGCTTGGGAACGGGGGGGGGGGAAAAGGGCGGCGAGGAAAGGGAAGGGGGGTTGGGGGGGAGCTTGGGAACGGGGGCGGGGGGGGAAAAGGGCGGCGAGGTAAGGGAGGGGGGGGGGGGAAAGGGAGGCCCGAGAAGTTCCCGGTTCGAGGCGTTTTTTTGTTGTTGTTGTTGCCTCTTCTGCGGCCTCCGAGGGGGGCCGGCTTGGGGCCCTGGGGCAGTCGAGAGCTGATCTGGGGTGAACAAATAGCTGCGCCGTGCGGATCTCGGGAGGGGTCCGGGGATGGCTTTTGAGCGGATTTGTGCCCTCGTCTTCCTCATTGGCAGATTCCCTCGGGGCCCATCCAGTTGGAAGCCCGCTGGCTGCCTCCCAAGAGGAGGCTTGTTGGGGACGGGCCCGAAGCCAGTCGAACAGGATCAAGCAGCATCGCGCGCGTCCGAGTCCGGGCCCTCTTGGAGGATCTTGGGGAGGGGCGAGTCGTGGCCCCGCCTCTGGCCTCGTCTGGGCAGCAGGGTCAGCCTCGTCGATCCCGACGGAATCCAGGCCTTGCTCTGGGGAGGAGGGGGTTCAGTGAGCGGCTTGAATAAGGAAAACTTGCTTTTCAAAAGGGGCTCGGTCGTTCCTTAGGCTTATGTGCGTTATTTACAGTTCCCTATGCGTTGTTTGTTCTTTCTCGTTCCTTATGTCCTATTCCTTGGGATAAAAAAAGGGGCTTCGTTCCTTAGTTATCGTTCCTTAGGTCAGGCCGATGACTGCAGAGAGATGGACGTGGGCATGGCTTTTGCGCGCTGGGCAGCGCTCTGGCCTTGCTGCGCCGAGGGTCGCTCATCCTCCCTCGAGGATCAGAGCGTCGTCTCCCGTGGCCTGTCGGGGTGCGCCGCGGCACACCTCAGGACCCACCAAACCACCCCAACCCAATCCGAAGGCTCAGATTTACTCTCGATTTCTAGTGGGAGGGGTCCAGGAACATCGAAAAAACACAGATGGAGCCCATACCCCCCCAACCTGAATTTCGGATCTTCGGGTTGGGTTGGGGTGGCCTGGTAGGTAGTCAACACCCCTCCGGGTAGTCGCTCTCCACGTGGGCCGCCGTGTCGCGCGCCCCCTCGAGGTGAAGAAGGAGCTGCCGGAGGACAGCGACAACTTCGTGAACGTCGACCACGACGTGAAGCAGCTGCTGCGCAGAGGAGCCGAGGCGGCCCCCGCGGGAGCGACCGTAGCCACGAGTAGCGTGAAACCAGGAGAGACTCGCGCAGGGCCGTGTGAACGGCTTTGGCTACCGCCCGATCTCTGACCACTCAGGCCAACCTGTGCTCGCCGCTGAAAGGCCGCTCCCCACCCCACCCCAATCTGGGAACCTCCGCTCCCCCCATCCGGAACAAGCAGAGGGACACCCGCATCCCCCGACCGCTTCCGCAAAAACAGCCGGTTCACGTTCGAAGGCAAGCACTCGGCACGAACGGAACGGGTACGGAAAGAATGGGTACAATGCCCAACAGCAGTTCCTGTTCATTTTGAACAGGACTCGCTGTCCGCGCCGCCGCGGCCTGTGTCCATTTGAGACAGAAGGCCGCCTGCCCAACATTGGCCGCTATCAGTTTGGGACAACATTTGTTGTTGGGCATTGTACCCATTTTTCCCGAACCCAGTTCGGGCGTCCAAAAGCACGACGGGCCGAAAAGGTTCAGGGGCGTGCGGAATGCTCCTCGAAGGTGCCCGTGACCGTTGCCCGAGACCTGGGCAGCAGCGCTGCACGCGAGCACGCATGGCGAGTCAACAGCAGAGGTGTGGCGAGACCCCGAGGACGGCACCGCCCGGCACGCCCGGGGCACGGCACGACACGGCACGGCACGCCTGTCGCATTGGACCAGACTTTAGCAGGGCTTGGCGAGGACGAGGAGGAGGAGGAGGAGGAGGAGGAGGAGGAGGAGGAGGAGGAGGAGGAGGAGGAGGAGGAGGAGGAGGAGGAGGAGGGGTGGAAGCGGAGGTGGAGGAGGAGGAGGAGGAGGAGGACGAGGAGGAGGAGCAGGAGGAGGAGAAAGAGGAGGAGGAGGAGGAGGAGGAGGAGGAGGAGGAGGGGAGGTGGAGGTGGAGGTGGAGGAGGAGGAGGCACCTTTCTGTCGATCTCTAAGCCTAGGCCCTAGGCACTGCACGGCTCGCGGGCACGACAGGGCACGGCGTCCCAGGCTCCTCAGGCGCGGCACGGCACGCGCGCGCCGGCGCGGCACGGCACGGCGAGCCCGCGGCACATTTCTCGCACCCCCAGCATCTCGACGCGTGTCTCCTCTGGATGCGAGCCGGACCCCTTGCGGCACCCGCTGCCTGGGGAAGGACCTCTGACCGACCACCTCTGGCCGGCGCCACCCACAAGCATGCTTCCACTCTTGCTTGGCATCGCTCGGACGTGTGCATGTTTCCTTCGGCGAGGACCATCGAGGAGCATCCTGGATCATTTGGCGAAAAAAAACACGCACGAAACCGACAAAAACACAGGGAATGGACGTCCGAGCGATGGCGAGCTTGGCGCGTCGGCGCCCCCGGCGCGACGCGCGCGCGCGCTGAGAAGTCCCGTCGCGTGGCTTCTCGGCGGTGCGCGCTCTCTGGCCACACCGCCTGGGTGCCGCTGCAAGGCTTGCACACCGTGTGCTCAGAGTTCGGACGTGCGCCTCCCGGGCGGGGGGCGTCTAGTACTACAGTCGGGGCCCTGAAGAAGGAACCCTTTTCGCTGGGGAGGGGCTCCGCGCTCCTGAAGTGTTCCGCAGCTTGCCTCAGGTTTTCCTTAGGTTTCGATAGGAAATCGAAGTTTAACTTATGGACAAAGGGGGCCTCGTTCCTTATTTAGGTTTCCTCAGGTCAACGCCCCGACGGTACGCTTGGCGCGTCGGCCCCCCCGGCGCGGCGCGCGCGCGCTGAGCAGTCCTGTCGCGTGACTTCTCGGCGGTGCGCGCTCTCCGGCCACGCCGCCGTGGGTGCCGATGCGCAAGGCTTGCACACCGTGTGCTCAGAGTTCGGACGTGCGCCTTCCAGGCGGGGGGGCGCCCAGTACTGAGTCGAGCTTGTCCCTCTGTATCGGAGGAGTAATCAAAAATGGTCAAGCAATAGTCGGGGGGCGATTTATTTCTGCATTCGCCAAGTTCGTCGTCATCCTTGTCCGTGTTGCGGGATAGCCCCCTTGAGGGGCAGCGGGTTCTCCCTCCTGCCTTGCTTTGCTGCTGCTGGAAAAATAGTCGGGGGGGCGTCTAGTACTAAGTCGAGCTTGTCCCTCTATATAGGAGGAGTAATCAATGATACCGGAGAAAAGCCCCAATCAGAATTTGTTTGGGGCTATAGGGCTATTGGGCTATAGGGCCATAAGGCTACTATAGGGCTATAGGGCTATAGGGCGATAGGGATATAAGGCTATAAGGCTATAGGGCTACAGGGCACCGGGCACCCGGGCACCTGGGCCTGGCCACCGAATCGGCGGCGAACCCGGGCACCCGGGCACCGGGCACCCGGGCACCCGAGCACCCGGGCACCCGAGCACCCGGGCACCCGGGCCCGGCCACCGAATCGGCGGCGAACCTCATCTCAGCCTTTAATCCGCTAGGACCCCTACAGAGGCAAGCTCTGATTGAGGAAAAATGGTCAAACAATAGTCGGGGTGCGATTTCTTGAGTCGATATTTTTTGACTATTTTTTGCCATTCCTTCAAGATCCGCCTCTAGGGGGACATGCCCGACCTGAGCTCAGTAACGGTCTTCCGCGGCGGGAATTTATGCATGACCACCTTCTGGAGGATGAACCTCGGGGATCTCGGCGGGCGGTGGATGTGGACATATTCGGACCCCCGGGGGCACGAGGGCGTCGGTTCCCAGGCGGTGGATATGGATGACTCCCCGCCTCGCAGGCACTTTATTAGTGCATTTAATTGGTTTTAGGGTTTTAACAGATGGTCGCAGCCACGCAGAGGGCGTGCGTCGCGACGCCCCAAATGCTCGGTCCCCAGTGCTTCTGCGTGGCGGCGCCCCCGCAGGCGCGCAGAGGGCACGCGTGGCGACGGGGGCGTCGCCACGCAGAGCTCCTAAAGACCAGACATTTTGAAAACCAATTGTTTCCACTACTGAAGTACCCTGGCCGCTCGACCGACGGGGGCACAAGCTTCTGGCGAAACCTGCAGACGCCAACGACCTGCACCTCGTCCTTGACATAGGCCGCACTCGAGATCAGCGTCCTCGCGAGAGGCGTCACCGCGCTGTGCCAGGCATCGAAGGATCGCATCTTCTGGCGATTGCGCAACGCGGCGACCTAAACTCCAGGAACAAATGTTCGATCGAGGTCAGCACGGTCGACAACGCTCGACAACGCATTTTGAAAACCAGCTGTTTCCACTACTAAAGCACGACCTTCTGCGCCCCGTCCGGAGACTGCGCGCCCGCCCGCGCGAGGTGCGGCTCGTGAGGCCCTTCTGCTGCGAGCCGGGCATCTTCGAGGCGCTGGAGAAGGCGCAGGCTCGGCCCCCCCGCCCGCGCCGACGCCGGAGGGGGGGAGGGGGGAGGGGGGAAGCTGGGGAGGGGAGTGGGATTTTTTTTTTTTTTTTTTTTTTTTGTGTGTGTGTGTGTGTGTTTTTAGTTGTTTTTGACCTTTTTGGTGTATTTTTGGGGTATGTTTTATTTTTCGCCGAAAATCCCCCTGCAGGGGGACGGGCCCGACATAATACTGGTGGAGGCCCCCCCTTGTGCTGTTGGTGCGCACCTTCCGGGCCTGCACGGGCGAGGGCGAAGGCAGGGATTGGAGAGAGTCGCAGGTGGATAGACCTCCTACCCTGACTCGTCGATGGAGGAACTGGCCCTTTTTCGGTTCGCGAGAGGGCGTCGCGGCCGTCATTTTTGCGGGTCCAGGTCCGTCGGTTTCGGCTTCGGCCCCAGGCCGTTTTCTCTGAGGGGAGGTTTGCGAAAGGGAGGCTTGTCCACCGCCGAGAGAGGGGAGATGTGGCAAGCTATGTGCGCTCGCGCCATACCTAACATTCTACCCCTCCCCCCCCTCCCTTCCCATGGCGTCGTTTTTTTTTTTTTTTTGTATCCAGCGACAGGTATCATAGCGGACCTGGACCCCCCCAAAGGACCTAATTGTGTCATGCGCAGTCTGGGGGAGGAGGCGGCGGATGAGGAGGAGTATGAGCAGGAGGACGTGGAGGAGGACGAGGAAAGATGAGGACGAGGAGGAACAAAAGCAGCATGAGCATGAGTGGGAGCAGCGGGAGGAGCAGAATGACCAGGGGAAGGCGGGGGAGGGAAAGGAGCGGGGCGACAACGATGAGGGAGCACTCAGATTCAAAAAGTGGCCCGCGCTGGGGCGATAGCGCCGTTCTGAACGATGGGAGCAACGCGCCGATCCTAGAATGAGGCCAGCGCGACAGCTGGAGTACCATTTGGAGACACCCAAAAACGTTCCGACAGAGACTGCCATAGAAAGTACCAAATTGCGAAATCCAGTGTGTACACAAAACAAAACGCGGAGGTGGGCAGGCCACTTCCCGGCCATCTTCGGGGGAGAGAGTAGAGTAGTATTCATCTAAAGTGTCCGTGGAGGAGGGAGAGGGATGGGTCGAGGGAGGGCGGTGGGTTGGGAGGGACGGGGGAGGGGGTGTGATAGAGGAGGGAGGAGGGAGGAGGGCGGAGAAGGGAGGGAGGGTGGTTGGCGGAGGCTGGATGGTGGTGGTGACGATGGTGATGCTTCTGCTGATTATGATGAGGACGGCGATGACGATGACGATGATTCTGATGACGATGCTGCTGATGATGATAATGAGGATGACAATGATGTTGAGGATGATGATGCTCATGCTGATGAGGATGATGATGAGCATGAGCATGAGCATGAGCATGAGGATGAGGATGAGGATGAGGATGATGATGATGATGATGATGATGATGATGATGATGATTATGATGATGATGATGAGGATGCTGATGATGCTGATGATGAGAACGATGATGAGAACGAGGATGAGGATGACGATGAGGATGTTGATGATGATGCTCATGCTGATGATGTTGATGATGATGATGATCAGTATAGTAAGTGTGCTGCGGCAGATGATGATGCTGATGATGATGGCGACAACGTCGACGAGGATGCTGACGCAGATGCTGATGCTGCTGCTGATGATGCTAATGATACTGTTCATGATGGTGACGAGCATGATGATGTTGACGATGATGACGATGTTGATGGTGGCGATGAGGTTGATAATGATGATGATGTGGCTGTTGTTGATGATGGTGGTGATGATGATGCTGATTTTTGTTATGAGGATGATGATGGCGATGGTGATGGTGGTGGTGATGACGATGATGATGATGATGAGGATGATGATTAGTCATGCTCAGGATGATGATGATGATGGCGATGATGATGCCGATGATGCTGCTGATCATGATGTATAAGATGTCCATGATGACGATGGTGACGACGACGTCGACGACGACGATGCTGCTGCTGATGCTGATGACTGCGCTGCTGCTGCTGATGATGACGATGATTATGATGCTGGTGCTGATGGTGGTGGTAATGCTGACAACTATGCTGATGGTAATGATGATGAGAATGATGCTGATGGTGATTCTGATGCTGATGCTGACGATGGTGAGGTTGATGATGCTGATGATGATGCTGATGATCATGATTATTCTGAGTGTGATGATGCTGCTGATGATGATGATGCTGATATAGCTGTTGATGTTGATGATGATGGTGGTGGTGGTAATGATGATTATTATGATGACGATGCTGCTGCTGATGGTGATGATGCTGATGATGCTGATGATTACGATTACGATGAGGATGCCGTTTATGATGAGGATGGTGATGCTGATGATGATGGAGGAGGATATCGAATATCGATGATGCTGATTCTGATGATGATGATGATGCTGATGATGGTGATGAGGATGATGATGATGCTGATGATGAAGAAGAAGGTGATGATGATGATGATGATGATGATGATGATGATGATGATGAGCATGATGATGATGATGATGATGATGATGATGATGATGATGATGATGATGATGATGATGATGATGATCATCATCATACTGTGCTGTGATGAAAGATGGCCCCATTTTGACGGGTCAGCAGAAGTGCATCCATCCTTCGTCCGCAATGCGAGCGCACGTCGCTAGTCGCTTCGTTAGGGACGTGGAGCCTGGTACAATGTTACGGGGGAGGTGCCTCGCAACTGGGGCAGAGGGCAACCCGGGCTTTGGTACCCTCATGGAAATTTCATTACGCCAAACGGGATGGCGGTTCGAAAACAGCGAACCGCGTGGGACATCCTCACAAAATTGGCTGTCCTGACGGTTCGAACTCGGATCGAATCAAAAGAATCCGGTTCAA